CCACTACTCCCGCCTCCCCCTCCCGTCTCCCCCTCCTAACCTGTCTCCCCACCCCGCCCTGCCCTGCCCTTGCATTGACCAATGTCGACTATGACTATGTATACTGCAAACGGTAAGTACCGAGCACCCCCGCCGCTGTGAGGATCAGCACACTTACAAGTTTAAACAACAAAAATGTCAGCTGTACGCGGGGGCCAGGAGGATGGTGCAAGCAGATGACATCGGTGAGAGCACATTCTTGAGTATATGTATCCCTTCACAGTGTGCATCATGGTGTATTTACAGGACATGGACCCTCCGACATGGTCCCACCGACAAGCTTCTTTCATTTGCTCACATTGTACACATCATCCTGCCCCCACCCACACGACGCACTTAAGCACGCAACCGCTGCTGCTCGGTGCTCACTGATGGTCGCGCGTATCCCACCACAACACTCGTACGTGTCCTCTTCACATCGTAGACGAGCTGCAAACCAGTCATTGACTTGTTCCCACAGCTCACTCGGCGGCCGGCCAGTCAGCCACGCGGCGATCCCACGCCCGGGGCGCAACTGGGCAGAAGAGGCTGACGACGATGCTCGGTCGTCGGGAGCTGGCCAGGTTGCTGTCAACGACTTGCGTGCAGGCGCGCTGCGCGGCGTGGGCGCTTTCAGACGCGGAGCCGGGGAGACAACACAGTACCACTGCGGCTGTGCGGCGAAGGCGAGGTACGCGGTCGCGCGCGTGGGGATCGTGAATCTCGCGTTGCCGCTGCGACGCATCGACGGGACGCGCCCCGAGATGACAGTATACGGCGCGAGCATATACTCGGGCGGGCGTGAAATGGGCGAGGCCGTCGTGGCGCATGCGGGTCGTAGAAGACGGTGGGCACTCGTAATGGGCGCATATACTCGACTTTGCGCGCATGCGGCGGGATCACGAAGAAGACGGGGGTAAGAGACGTACCGTGGAGGTGGCAGCAAGACCGAGGGGAGGGGAGTGGTCGGAATCTGCGATGCTGAGCTTGGTACATTACGTGCCTTCATGCATCCGCAAACGAGACGCGTGGACGGGCCGGGCGGAGGGCAGGGACCGGGCGCGAGGCGAAAGGGCGGGCAAGCGGCGGGCAGGCATTCGTGAACGATGGTGTGCACCCTTCCTTTCGATTCTCGCCTCTGCACCAGCTAGCCAAGACGGCGGAGACGGACCGGGAGGCGTGAGCGGGCCGGAGACGGGCAGGAGAGGAGGGCCTGGGCAGAGGAAAGCAGAGTGGCCGCGAGACTCGAGAGACACATCGTCGCTCTCTCGATGTCAAAACCGGCGCCTAATCTCGCAGGTCGTGAACCGCCGCAGCCACGGTCTTGGACGCACCTTCCGACGTGTACGCAGCGCATCCGCGTAGGTTTTCCTGTCGGAAGACGTCGAGGAGGGCCAAGTATGGGGTGAGTGCCACAGTGTTCAGTCGCGCGGCTGAGAGCGCTGACTTTGCGAAGAGGCAGAGCTTGCGCACGCAAGTGCGAGCCACTGCGAGAGGAGAACCGACGCAGCAGGTGGGCGGGGAGTCGAGCGCAACAGAGAGACAGACAATGAACAAAGGTATACGTTGTATATAGCAGTAGCACGTCGTGGTCAAACGCAGAGAGTCCCGTCGCCACGCCCCGCATGCTGTGTGCCCTGTAGACGCCCGCGCGCGGCCGCGTTCTCCAAGTCCAAGTCCCGCGCGCGGACCCTCTGTGCGCCTCCGCCTCACCGTGCAATATGCACGCACTACCGTGTAGTATGCGCCCATTGCACTCCCTTACGAATCCGCTCTCTCCGGTACTCCCATGTCGCCACACAGAATATACTCGGCGCCTACCGTACACGTGTCTACCGAACGCCTCGCTCGCTCGCGCGAAGACGCCCACACAATGCAGCCACGGACAGCCACCGACGTACGTTCGTCTACGTTCATACGGTCGAGCTTCGACGATTTATTCACTCAAGGCACGAAGTTATTCAGAGATAAGCATACAATACGATAAGTACATTGCAAATGCAGAGCAACGACGACGAGTACGGGGCCGACCCTGTTTGACGTCACCATTCTCAACCTCAGAATCAGAGCTGACAACGACGCGTCGCGCGTGGAGTGTTAGAAGGCGTATGCGCGTAGCCTGTGGCGTTTGTTGAGCAGAGCCGTCGGGATTCCCCGCTGAGACCTGGGAGTCACCCTTTTGTGCGACCACGGACGTGCTGCAGGGTCGCATGAATAAGAATTCTATTTCACAGGAATGCGGTCAAGACGAATCACCATGCACTCACCTTGACTCGTCCTCGTCTTCCGAGTCGGATATCTCGATCACCGGGAGCTCATTCATATTAACATTCGCGAGCACGGCGCGTCTCGCCTTCACGCGTCTGTGTCCCGACGTCAGAAGTACGTCCGAGCACAGAGAGACCAAAGGGGAGGAGGGAACATGAGTAGAGTCTCATGAGCCTCTCGAGTATGTAGACGCAGAAAGCGCAACTTGGGGGGACTGACCGCTGCCGTTCCTCTTCGCTGTCAGACACGACGAACTTCTCTGAAGGCTCCGCCGCCAGTGCGCGCCGGAAACGCGCCCTTCCCGGGGTAGTCTTTGTCGGGCTATCTGCGCCCGGCTTGCTTGAAGATCCCGGCAGTGTTTCCCAGCGCGGCGACTCCATGACCTTGAGTACTTCTTGACAAATACTGAACTGGACGGTGTGCTGAATGCGGGTTTTGAAGGTAGAATGGGTGGTAGTGATAGTAAGAGAACAAGAGTGAGTTGCCTACGCGTGTGGCCACTGCCTCTAGGTGCACCGTGACTGGGTCGGGGTGGCACACCGGACAAACGGCGGCGCGCGTCGAGACGCGTCGGTCGCCCCGCCAAACCAACATCGAAGCCGGCGATCAAACCGGCGTCTCACGCCTAATTGACGCGAAGACGCCCATACATTGCAGCCACCAGCAGAGACAGGCAGAGACATGCGAGAAGCTAGCTTCGGCGATTTATGCACTCATAGCAGACGATCCGTTAGGGAAGAGGGGATACGCATACGATACGATAAGTACATTGCAAATGCAGAGCAACGACGACGGGTACGGTATGATACAGGCAGGGCGTAAGTACAAGTAACAACACGGGTCGCGGCGGCATCTGCGCACGGCTTCTATAAATCATGCATATCGTGCCGGAAAATGTCGCGCTATATCGTTCTGCGATAGTCCATTTGAAATCTCCGTTCGTCCTGCCGGAAGTGCCATGTAATGCGCGGTCGTGTGCTAAATGTGCGAGATAAAATGGTGTAATGGGATATGATGAGTCGTGGGGGTCGTGAGCGGCGTCGACGGCTGACGCGGATCCGGCCTGGCGTCTTCTATAGAATTCCGTCCAATCGTTCTTGTTGTACAGTGTGTGCGCAGTTGGCGCACTGTTTGTGCCCGCCGCGCCGCCCCTGTCGTCCGCTGCGGTCGATCGACGATCGGCGATCTGACAGCGACGTGCGCTCGATCACCGACAAAGGAAGGACAGGGGAGGCGAGCTGGGGCGTTGTGTATCCAAGAACGGAGGCCAGTGGTGGGTCCACATAGCAGCGGAAGCGGGCGGAACTGCAACGCGAAGCGCGTTATGAGCTCTTCTGGTAGATTTTGACGCTCTTGACCTCCCAGTCTGCAGAAAAGATGTCATGAGACACTGCGCGCGACGACGTGAATGACACGTTGGTACTCACAGGCTTCAGTGAAC